GACGAAGAATCCCGTGAGGCAAATGTCCAGGCCATCGTTGATGATAGATCCTATGGCGCCATTGTAGCTCCCATTTGCATAGCGTTCCCTGTTGAGAAGTAAATAATTGCATATCATTTCTTAAGTTCACAATCAATTAAACTCATATTATATCCATTATTAAAATCGTTGAAAAGTATGCAGCATACAAAGTTTGTGCTGAAGGAAATATTTTTATACAAAGACATGATTTATTTCCGTTTTACGACAAAAATACTAACTTTTTTTATAGGTACACTGGTACAAATAGGGAATGCCATATCTCGTTGAACTCGTCGCAAAATTTCCTATCGAATGGCATTCACAGCTAAAAATTAAATTTTTTGCCCATTTTTCGCAAAAAATTATGATGTTACCCCTTATAAAAAATCAGAAAAATTAAAAAAAAAATAATTTTTTGCAGAGATAAAATTAGTGATGGGAATCGTTTATTTGGATCATAGCCTGCACAAAACAGTGATTCGTTTGAATCTGTGACCATTTTTGGCCAAGTTATAGGAAATTTACCGCTTTGAGAATATCATATTTCTGCAAAATAGGTATCCCCAATTTTTCAACAAAAAATATTCAGTTTTTTCCCCACAGAAGTTGAGTTCTCAATCCAGATATGGAATGCCATATCTCGTTGAACTCGTCGTAAAATTTCCTATCGAATGGCATTCACAGCTAAAAATTAAATTTTTTGCCCATTTTTCGCAAAAAATTATGATGTTACCCCTTATAAAAAATCAGAAAAATTAAAAAAAAAATTATTTTTTGGAACGATAAAAATATTGATGGGAATCGTTTATTTGGATCATAGGCTGCACAAAACAGTGATTCGTTTGAATCTGTGACCAGTTATGGGAAATTTACCGCTTTGAGAATGTCAAATTTTCGCAAAATAGGTATCCCCAATTTTTCAACAAAAAATACTCAGTTTTTTCCCCACAGAAGTTGAGTTCTCAATCCAGATATGGAATGCCATATCTCGCTGAACTCGTCGTAAAATTTCCTATCGAATGGCATTCACAGCTAAAAATTTAATTTTTTGACCGGAAACATCGCATTACCTACCCAAAATAATTTTTCTCCGGCTGCTGCAGTAGCATGGTGAAATTCAGTCGCTCCCTGAGCATTTGGGCCACCAGGAAGTCCACGCCACTGACACTCGTCAGCAGACCGGATTCCTTATCGAATTCCGGGCGAGTGTAGACGGACTTAAACATCTGAACCCGCAGTGGATAGCCAGCCATATCGCGGAAGAGCAGTTTATCCAGGGTTTCCGATCCGAAATAGCGCACCAATCGTCCAAAGGCGGAATCGCGATGCTTGAAGGGATCATAAATCCAAATGCCATCTCTGGTTAGAAAGAAGCGATTGTAGACTTTGTGCTGCATCCACAACTGTCGACAGCTGTCCTCCAATTGTAGTTGTTCATCGAGGGAAAGGTCCTTATCTTGATCTGTCAGGATGTAGAAGTAAGTACCAGCTTTCTGAATCGGTGCAGCCGCTCCACGATTGGACAAAAGTTGATCTAAACTCATCACCAGGACTAGATTCTTGCGGCCAAAAGGTTCGTCCATCCAATAGCGATTTTCCTGGTAAGTGATGATGGTCAGCGGCATTTCCATACGATGCAGAAACCAGCGAACATAGGGATTCTGCTCATCCTGATGGTCTTTACCCGCTCGCAGCCAAAGTTCCAAGTGGGACAAATCCCTGGTGGGTTCCACCAGCAGTCCATTCAGCTGGGTCACGTTCAGGGTTTTGTCCAGCATGAAGAGCAGGAAAAGCGATCCAAGCACCGCCATTCGTATGGCCTTTGTTAGCACAAATGACTGCAGAAGTTGGCCAGTATCCTTTCAATCCTGTCCACAACTTACTCCGGCCAATTTCTGTTTTGACACCTGCAATTTTATTTGTTTGCTCGCGCACAATTAGAGACTCGTTATGTCAGGTGTCTTGTGTCGTCCAGCTCTTAAGCAAACATTATTATTATACCCTCGGATTGGGGGCGGGAATACCAGTGCGTCCCTTTCCCGGAGTCACCATTTAGGATCCAACAAGTCCCTTAACAACAGCAGTGCGTATACATACACGTATGTACAAAATGATTTAGGAGCTTTACTTGAGAAATAATATCATCTATGATCTAACAACTTAATTAATTTTAGCTAAATTTGCGGGTGAATGTGAGTAGTTTTCGTTTTTGTTGGATTTTTAAGAACTTGACCCGTACGTATCTGCAGCTCTTTGTTAATTTTTTATTTCGTATCGAGAAACCATTTTATCATCTATTCCCATTGTTGTGCTTTTTCATTCATGGCCCAATCCAGTGGACTCACCTGCACGCGGAAATCAAAGAAGAAGCCGAGGGGAAATTCGATGACGACTTTTCCCACAGCGAGATTTTCCGGTGGTCGAGCTAAGCGAGGCGACAGTTACACAGTGGCACTACATTACATCAAAAGTAGCATACCTAAACAGATTTTTATTAAATAACAAAAACAGTATGCGAGTCTGTTTGCAGTGTAACCAAGCAGTTCACTAGCTTAATAGATGTTTATATTTTGTATTAACGTTATACAATAACTGCCTTCAGCGAATGGACCACTGTTCAGCTTTTTTTTGCTTCCGCTAAAAAGTTTCGGGTTCAACTCAGTGTTTCCTTGTTCAGGAACTCATCGGCCGTATACATATTGATATTCATGCAGTGCCACTTGTATATGGACACCGAGTGGCCAAGTGCCCGCTGTTCGATAACCGCTGGCTGGTGGAGCAAGCAAAAGCATCAATAAACTTCGCCTTGTGTAGTTTTCAAAATGAAAAATAAATTGGAAAATTGAAAAAGCAATTCATCGCATTAGGAACGTGCAGTGAATGGAGGTGAATGTTGTGATACCACTGCCTTAAGGCGTCGGCGATGCCCATTGACAATGCCGGGCTTTTTATCGTCTTTGTGCCAGGTGCGTCCAGCGCACAATGGACAAGGTGCGGTGGGACGCATCCTTGACCAGGACACGGTCCGCCTCACCAGGACCTCATCAGTGCTGTTCGCACTGCTAGCTTCTTGGGGATGCCTCCAAAATGTGTGGGTAAGTGCAGAAAACTGATTCGCATATTAGGTACTATTTGGAAGGGCACTTGTTTCACCAATCAGCTGAAAAGTAGGCAGCAAATTTGTACTGACATTTGCCGAGCTATTTTACATTCATGTGTGTGTGTGACTGCATGATAAAGATGCTTTCCTTCAGATACTTTCCCTCAGATACTCTCCATCAGGTACTTTCCGTCAGGTACTTTCCTACAGATACTTTCCTTCAGATACTTTCCGTCAGGTACTTTCCATCAGATACTTTCCTTCAGATACTTTGCTTCAGATACTTTGCTTCAGATACTTGCCTTCAGATATTTTCCTTCAGATACCTTCCGTCAGGTACTTTCCTTCAGATACTTTGCTTCAGATACTTTCCTACCGGAAAAGGGTATATGCCAAATTGCCGATCTGCTTTGAAGCATCATCTACCACTGGTAATACTGACAGCTGCAGTTACCCATTTGCTCCATATCATCTGGATGGCCTTCATCACTCCCGGTTTCCTATTCATTTCTGAAATTCTTCGACCGCGCACTGCAGTCAACACAAACGAGCTGGGCTTTTATGGCCGAGCGATAAAATCAAATTGAAGTTCTTTTCCGGCACTTCACAAGTGGAAGTGAGAGAGAGAGAGCGATGTACGGGAAGAAAGAGAGAGGGCAAAGTGGGTGCAACGTTTCACGCATTTAGTATTATGACAAACAGTGGTGGATCGAACATGAATCACTGTACCCAAATATTGGAAATTATTTCTAAAGTTTTGTAGTTTACATGCTGAATTTAGGCGCTTTTAAAGTTCTTTAACTCCATATGATAAACATATATTTGTGGCTCCTTTGGCCTCATCATATCTTCTTTAGGTACCGGAAACAATGTTGTACCCCAGTTAGGTACCACAAGTACCTTTCCCCGCACTGATGACGTTGAATCGCTGAATTGTGTGCACTTGAGTGAGCGAATAAGAGTGAGACGTGCGTAGGTAAGAAGCAGCAGCAGAAAGTTGGAAAATCCATGGGGGGAAGTCCGAGGAAAACTGCAGCGAGGAGGTGATGAAATCATTTGTAACCTGGCACGTGAAAATGAAATTTTTGAGCGAGCATCAGCTTGAAATTCGATTGGCCATTGTGGCGAAATGCGTTTTATACTCTCGTTTTTACATTCCTATTATTTGCTTCCTGCATTCATTCTTAATGTTGTACTATTAAAATGCTTCTCAAAAGTAGTGACGACTAACAGATACCTTTGCGTAAAAAGATTCAAGACTGATATGGCGGGAAAAATAACTTTTTAAGGTAAAAATCAGCCGAAATGTAACCTCAATTAAAGTTAAAGAACATTATTCTTATCGTTAAGCAGATTACTAAAATATATGCAGCATGTATTAATTTTAATTGTATAGTGCTATATATGAGTTTTATGGCTTCGGTAAAGCTTCCACGCAGTTCTTAAATGCAATAACCAGCCAGAATGTGGGGTGCTATTTGTAGTAGTAGTAGCCGCACTAAATTTGGCCACAATCTCTTACAGAAACCTGCACTTAAGGCCATTACTTCCATTGCATTTGCTGCTTTTGGCAACGCAAATTGTTCGCCAGCCAAAAAAAGAAAGGGAAATACGTGAAAGCGGGGAAAGCGAAGTGCAATCATGTCGGATCAAATGAACTGAACTTAACCAAGTCGAAATGGGTGCATTGCATTGCCCCAATTTCGATGGGATTACCTTCGGTCAGGCGAAGGAAATCCCCAGACTGGCGATGCGTTAAATGCAAAATAAATGTTCCCAAAGTGGCCTTCAAGTATGAAGAATTCTTGTAAAATAAACTGATATATACGATCGTGGGAACATATATGATAAATATATTATTTATGAAAATAAGAAAGCGTTCGTTTTCAATGTGGTGCTTAATTTTATTTAAAAATTTAATAATATGCTTACATAAATACTAGATATAGTCAACAAGAAAAAAAATGGCGTGGCTAATGCTGGACTAGTCAGGGATCCGTTCCTACGACACATAACTACTCTAGGTATCACTGCTCCATTTCCAGGCCAAAGGTGGCACGCATGCGCTCGAGGGTGGCGGCGGATAATCCCCGCTCGAGCAGCTGCCGCTCCGCCTGCGCGATCACATCCCGCATCGTGTCCAACATGACGGCGCTCTTCTTCAGCTGCCCGCTGACGAATTTGTGCCGGAAGCGCAGCTTGGCCTTCTTGATCTTGTTGTTGTAGCGGGACTTGCGGCAGGACTCGGCCCTCTGGCGCTGTGCATCCTTCACATCCGATCCAGAGCCGGAACCTGATCCAGAACCCGATGCCCGTTCCATGGCAAGCTCCGTTTTCAGCGGCGGCGGTGCGCGGCGCTCCACAACAATGGGATTCTCGAGGAGCATCTGGTCCACATAGCGTTGCTCCTCGTCGGCGTAGTGCATCTTGAGATGGTGCAGCTGCTGGGACACCAGCTCCTCGATCTGCTCCGGCTTCGACGATGACGACGAAGCTGCTGATAGAGCGGGTGAGCTGCTGCCGCGATACGGCGCGTATACGTGACCCATGGCCGCGTAGCTCAGGGTGGGCAAGTAAAGATGACTCCGTTCCATGGCGAATTTTCGATGTGACGTGGTCTGTGACTGCTCTCGTCAAAGTTTCGGGTGCTAATGCTGTCATAGGGGCCATGTCAGGCTAGTTTTATACCATTTCTGCAGGTAGATTGCCATTGGACCTTCATGAATGGCGGTCACTGGGTTTTATGATCTTGTTTTCGTTGATCTTGGTGCATTCGTGGGCACCACCTACCTGTGTCCCGATTGGCCGACGAATTGCAGATATGTAAACAAATGGATTAGGGTAGCAAAGCTACCTGATAATTGGTCAAATTTTAATTTGAAAAACAAAAATCAGGTGTGACCCAATATGTGGGTTTATTCTGGGGTTACCTATACCGGTATGTTAATATTCACGAGCTGATCCCCATAACATAAAACAGATTCCAAGCCAAGAGATAAGTTGAATGCGTTTCACTTCTACTGATAAAGGTCAATAAATCCACTGTAATCCCAACTGAACTGTTCGTTTATCGCCAGCAGTGTGCCGATTCGCCTTATCTAGCTTAAAAGAGTCAACAAATGTTGAGCATTGTGGAAAATCAACCTGCTTGGGCAAATACTAGTATATACATATGTCAAACTGGGGGATCAGCCGGCGTTATGAGATAAGCGGCCACATCGATTGTCATTCTACCTGTGAACGTTGTTTGTTGTCCACTACGGATTCACCCATCTGGAAGTGGGTTTCCCAAATCAGGTAGCCACTTTAAGGCGCTACTTGCTACGTGGCGACAAACAAGTTGCGGCTTGTTGTAGTGGGATTAACCCACCAAACCGACCGCATTTAGTCTATTAATTAATTTAACAGCCCTCTAAATGATGAGGGGTTCAGCGACCTGCTTAGCAGGCCTTAAAGGGTTAAGTCAGCAATCCCTTTGGCTAAGAATAAAATGGAGTTTGATATTAATGTCCTATCTAGCCTAAATCGATCCACAAATTGTTGCTAGACTTAGGTGTTGTAATATAATAAACAAAACCTAATTTCAAAAATGATTTAACAACTAATCAATTAAATAATTAGTACTGTACAACGGTAGGTAACATGTTATAACCCTGCAAGGAGCCAATATAGTGTTAATGTATTTTAATAAACAACCCCGCCCGTTGACACTCGAATTACATAAATAGCATAAATAACTCCGCTGGGGAAATTGGCAATATAATTGAGTATTTTAGTGACCGAAAGCAGTTTTAATTTGAAATCTCCCTTTCACCCAGATGGGGGCAAGCTGTCAGCGGCAGACGGACAATAATTTTTCCATTTTTCGCATTTTCCATTCGGCATTATCCGTTTGCCATGTGAACAATAAAATTGACAACGCTGCGTTTGGTTGGCAAATGAGAAAATACGCAGACAAGTATAATTAAAAAACCATTTATAATCATTTTCGACCAAATCCCAATTGGCCACCCAAAACCAAACCCCCACCCAAACCAAACACTTGAAGCCTGACAGTTTTCCAGCTCGAGGAGAGTGGAATAAAATAGACTGAGTGGGGAATGCCGATGCTCGGAATACCCTAGCTGAATTGAATGACTCGAGAAAATATGTACTATTCCGGCTAAATACTTAAATATCCCAGTAATGACCTTTAGTTGGTATAGGGCTTCCATTTTCGTGCATAATAGGGCATTATACACTCTCCTCAGCGATGGTACTGCAAGTCGTGGAGCGAGGCGACCATAAATACACGCACATGAAGGAGACTCCGCCACATCCCCAAAACGACATTGAGTTTGAATTATGTCAGCGCAGCAATAAATTGTCCGAGGCATTAAATTAAAATATATGTATAGTAGATATCGTTTAAAGGAAAGCTGCAAAAAAAAATTAGAAGGACGTGCGCACTAAGTGGCTTATTTTACTTCTAAATAGTAAAAGTGGTAACTCCTTATAGAAACAGATTTAAGTTAATATTTAAACTTCGCCTACTGTCTAAAAAGACTACTGTTCAAGGGTCGAAATCGAATACATATTTAAGCCGAAACACCGACGTATGTACGAAATTTAATTTATTAAATGCTATGAGTCTGCACTTTAAACATTTTCATAAATTACAATATTTATTTATTCAAATAAACTACAATTTGTCTTCCATAATTTCTATTTCTCTATAAATTGTAGTACAAAAATTGCGTTTTTCTGCTTGACAAATTAGAAAGTATTTCAATACGGCGCCTTGTCGTTTACATAATCGTTTTAATGCAGCGTCTTTACAAAAGTTTAGCATGCCTTTAAATATATTTGTGGCTTGTATTTAAATGTACTTACATACTATGGAGAAACACAGGCGGAATCAAGAATGGACCTACTGAGCTACGTTGTATGAGGATGATTTCCTTCAAATTGATATACCTCCACATGGAATTTAACCGGAACAGCCGCGACATCCGCAATGGACACACTCAACGATGCGACCCTCCTCCAGTTTGGATTTTGGCACCCGGCAGATGCAGTTCGTGCCGAAATTGGTGTCTCTCGTTTGAATGCAGCGCAGACAGCAGAGGTTTTCGTATCCCGACTTCTTCCACTTGGCAATTAGATTGCCATCGGCGATCTTCTCCTTCAGACAGTAGTCGTATAATTCCCGGCTGATGGCTTTTCGGCGATAGAATAGATCGTAGATGTAGCGCGTCTTCTGGTGGTGGATCTTGAAAATGGGCCAAAGTGATTCCGTAATGCGTTTGCCCTCATGCGGTTCCGTTTCGGCTGTTTAAGAACGGATTTATATTGGATTATTACAATGTTTTCATTTTCGGAGAAGCCACGCTTGTTTTACCCTCGCGCATTTTTTGCTCCAGTTCCTCGAGAGTGGGTTCGATCAGCTCCCAACCATCTGGCGGTGGTTTGCGACTGCGGCGCACCTTTGGCATCTTTAATATTAAATTTAATAACTTTAAAACTGTGAAATTTCTCTTGCAAAAGCTTAATTTCACAAAAAAAGGTGGTGATAATTCACAAACAGCTGGATACTTAGAGATGACACTTTTCACTAGCGCCGGCCACAGCCGCAGATTGTTATCGAGCACTCGCTATCGATAGTCAGTGTCTAAGCCGATTAGCGATAGCACTTCATTGTTTTTGTTGTTTTCCTTTTTGGAGACGCGTGTGTGTGTTTTGCGTGTAATAATTTATTTATTTTCCCGTTCCGTTTGTTTATGCACTATAATTTAAGTTCAGTTTTTAGCACAGGCGCAGGAGTAAGTAAAAAATTAAAAAAAATAAAAGCAACACAAAGCGAGTAACAATTTGTTGAAGTGAGTGCGCAAAAGTGCTGTGTTTGTGTGTGTGTGAGTGTAACACTTAAAAATTAGTTTAATACAGCAAGAGATTCATTCATAAAAATGCAACAACAAAAGGGGGTCGCCAAAGAAGAGGAGCACATAAAGATGCCCCGAAGAGGAAGGGAGACAAGCAGAGAAGGAGCAGTGACAACAATAACATCAATAACATTTTGGCCTTCGCAGATTGCTAGTGCCCTCTCGCTCCCACACGCACGCACACTCGTGCAATCAGCGCCCACATAACGGACCTACGTTTTGGTTTTACTTTTCATTTTTATGTTACTTGCTCTTTTTTTTGCGTATGTTTTTGTGCAATTCTCCCCCAATTCTTGGTATTATTTCGTGCTCGGCACAACAAATAACCAAATAAACTAAACTATTAAACCACCCACACGATTGCAATTGCATATCCACCCCCAATTCGCTTTGTACGCGTGTGTGTGCGTGTGTGTAATAAGCGCAACAAATCAGTTTTGTTTTGTTTTTTTTTCGTTTTGCAAATTCCCCGTTCTTGTGTGCTGTAAATCTACGTACATATATGTAGAATAGCAGTCATCGCTAATAAACATAATTCCCACGTATGACCCATTGTTTATCTTAAGAAAAGCCAAAGACTTTCACACACTTATCGATAAGATAAAATTGAAAGCAAATACAAAGGCTAGTAAATAGTCCTTTCTCACTTTGCCAAATGCAACAGCTGCGGCCAACATAATAGAGCCAGCAATTAATGACGCAGTGCAGCTGGAATTTTACATTTTTAAGCGGACTAGCTATGTAGGCACTGGGTGTCATTCGTCACAGGCAACTTAATAATAATAAATAAGTATACTTAAACAACAAGTTGAATTTCCAAAATGAATATCATATCAGACAAACAAATAAAATAGTTTTCGTACAAGTCATTATCTGAAATTCTCGCTGTTTTACATAATGATATTGTTATACGTTTTACGGTGAGTCAATGCAAAGCCACTACCATCGTGACCAGCACTGTAACCTGCATAACAACAGCCGTTAATTGAGGCGCAAATATTTGTAGCTGTCCCCCCCTCTTGTGGCGCTCTGTGCGCGGGGGAGCGGGGTGGAACACCGAGTGACAGGGCATTGGCTCTCGTAATTGACGTCTGCCCTTGACCAAGGCCTAAAAACAACAGCGAAATCCGCGTCACAGGAATAGAAACCGCGATCACTAGCAAAGCCATTGTTCGTCCAAGCCTTTAGCCGTTCAAACGTCTGAAACCCAATATCTAACGATTTTTTACGTCTTTGCAACGCTGCTTGGCACACAGAAACAGTGCGGGCCGTTTATATGGAACCACACTGTATCAAAATATAAAATACACGATACACAGTTCATTAAAATAATATATAGAGGAATAATAATATATCCCTCATATAAGACCCAATTTATATACGTGAGGAAAAAGAATTTCCTTACCAAGCCAAACAAATTGAAACTTTTTATTCAGTTTCTAGGCATTATAGGCATTACATTATAGATGCCAAATTCTGAGCAGAAATCAGACTGAATTTCCGTAACCAGGTTCCATTAGTTTCACTGGTTATTCAGTTTACTTGGGCTCTCATTATTCGAGAGACGCCAATTACACCGCGTGATACGCTTTCCCATGCGATTTCAGACGTCACAGGTGTAAACAATGGAAATAGGGTCAGGCTATATGGACTTTTAGCGTATCTGGGCACAAAGATGCCCAGTCACATTGAAATAAACTGATCACGATTTGGCACACCCAACTAGACATATTTTCTTTTTTTGTACAATCCATATGTAATG